TTGATCAAGAGCAGGGAATACAATGTACAGAATGTAAGTGTTAGTTTGACATGTAGTCGTTTTGTGTCTGATGATGGTGTTCAGTAATATGATCAAACCCATTTCCCCAATCCACAAAGTTTTAGACACTGGATGGCATTAATGAATGTGCTGCAGATTATTTGTTTTGTTGTTTATGATGAACTGAATACTGTAACTGATGCTCTCAAACTGCATAACGCCAATGTTAGTGTTGAGTGGAAGTATGTTTTTTGACAGTGATAGTTTGACATTTTGGGAAATTCACTCTCTTGCTGAGAGAGAAGATTGATACCACTCTCACATCTGTATGATGAATATGTATCTCAGTTAGCTTAGCTTATCTTAACATAAAGACGGGAAACAAGGGAAAACGGCTAGCCTGGCTCTGTGTGACGGGAACAAATTCGCCTACCAACACCTCTAAAGCTTACTAATAAACACTTTTTATATCCTGTTTGTGTAATATGTACATAAACCATAATTGTTTAACTGCAAGTTGTGGTTTCGCAAGTGGTTATGTGCAGTCACCAGGTAACCAGAGAAGAGTCCAGGTGATTACTCACCTTATATTAGACAGCATTGTCAAGTTATTACACTAAGGCCCCCAGGAAGTGCGCCGGGTTTTGAAGCCAACCTTCCTAGTGGCCAAACAGTGGAATTACAACTAACTGGTCTGTCACATGATGCGGCCTAAAAATACTTTTTCCAATAGACCTACATGGCAAAAGTAATAGCTGTAAATCAGTGGATAATCAGAATTTAATCCATTCAGTTGGATAACATTTGGAAAGTCTAGAAGAGCTGCATGATTGATTATTTTATCCCCATTCAAGTTAACTGAGCACTAAACTGGAAGTAGCTGGTACAGCTGGCTGAAATCTCTAGTGCAGCTGCTCTATGAGCACAGTGCCAAAGCAGTACCCTATCATCCGGGTAATTTTATACACAGCAGTTGATCCATTTTTGCTTCATGGGCCACTGACCAGCTTCAATAGCAAAGAGTGGTACCCCACTGCCAACGCTGTATCCAGGTCTCTTAATACATCCACTGTTTCCATCTTCAGTCTGACATTGCGTCCGCTCTCACTGCTTTCTGTCGGGGAGGGGGATTCGATTTCCACTAACCAATCACTAGACTGAATCTAACATCTTTTTAAGTCCACTCTGGGTTTGCACCATTACCATGCCAGCGCACTCCTGTGGTTTTAATTATTCCTCACTGGTTCCAACACAACAGCTTGACTGTGCATGATAACAGCTTGACAGTGGTGTTAGACCCGCCTATGGTGCTGCTTGGTTAATCGTCAGTCCCCCCGTGGCGCTGATTTGTTGTTTTTTATTTTAACCAAGAAACCATTGTTTCATGTCACAATGCCGGACCAGAATCTGTCAACTTGAACTCAGTGGAGTGGGCAGATTCAAAGGTCTGGACCAGGCAAGGAAATTACTGTTCCCAGACAATTAATATTCCAGCATATAAACACTTGAATTACTGTTAACAGCTGAGATGTAACGTGAATTAGTGAGTTTTAGAGGTGTGTAAGTGGATTTTTTACCTTCACGTAGAGCCACATAGCTGTTTGCTCATTTCCATTCTTTATGCTAATCTAGCGGCCGGCTCCTGCTACACATTTACAGCACAGACTTGAGACTTTTGTTCATCCTCTCGTCTGACTCTCTCCAAGAAAGTAAATAAGCATACTTGACATAATTCGAACTGGTCCTTTAAAGAACTCTAAACGCTGTATGGTACAAACAGAAACGCATTTGAAGTTCACTTGAGTTTTATATTTCAGGTCTCAGCAGATATTTTTATATCATTTCATTATTGAAATTTAAATTATTGCTATTCATTGAGTTTAATATTCCCATTGTTGTGCACACCCAGTGTGTACACAGGTGGTTTACTTTTATGCAGCATAAATTGAGTCTTATTTCAACATACCGCTTTACTGTGTGCTGTTTAAATCTTAAAAAGCAGCAATATAATGTGCCTTCAGAGTGCTAAATCTATGCATGTAAGCTGTTTTGAAAATGATAAAATTGAATCAATAATAAAATTGTCAGTATTTTAGATTTTTAATTGTTGTACAAGGGATTCACTTTTTTTGTACAGTACGCGTTTCCTCAAGCATCAAAGAAATTTTATACAAACAATGCCTCAAGAGATATATAATGATCTTTTTTATGAACAAGTTGTTGACTGAACAAAAATAAAGACCTATTGAAAGACCAGCAAACTCCTATTTTCTGTGACATTGATTATTTTAGAAAGGCATCTTCTCCATCTCTTAACCACAATCCTGTCAACACAGTGAATACAGATTACTCTCTGTTCCCTCAGTGGAAACTCTGCGCTCACACAGACAGTCATTTGGACGCTGCTGACAGTGTGAAAAATTACCCACTCAAGCTTCAAACATCTAACAAACGGATGCGGAACTGGTGATATATGCATTTCAAATACAATTACAGTAGGAGTAAGAAAATGAGGCCTCTTTAGCTCACGCTGATGTCGAAGCTAAAGAGGCCTCATCTGGGGAGCCCGTCTGCAGGGAGGAGTTTATGAGATGTTTACAAGAGTTGTGTGATGGGTGCTGGTCTTGCTAATCTGGATTGCTAATGGTCTGTTCCTTCCCGTCAGATAGTGAGGTATGGGATATCATTCTCCCTGCATGTCTCAGGAGCAATAACCATTTGAAGCGATGTTCACCCATGCAAGGAGAGCAGTGTTGCAACTGCCAGGTTTGGCTGGATGCTCTGTTGCATCTCCATGGAAACAATCTCTATACTGAGACATGTTTACAGCTTCATGCTGTATAGAATCTAAGGACATCCATCACAGTCTCCTTCTTTTCATGTACAATGCAGATGTCTTTCCAGCCTCCACTCAACTGACAATACGCCAATGACACATCTGTGTCTAACTATGAGTTGTTACAGTGTCTGAGGTCACACACACACAAAAACACACTGTTTCCATTACCTTGAGCGAGTACTCAATGGAAAGTAGTTTTTCCAAGCTCCAAACAAGCTACACAGATGGTTGCAAGCTAATTTTTTCTCTTATTTTACAATGATGGAACAAACTAAATTGCACAGTTTTCTCAACTTCTGCTGAAATATGCTGTATGCAGCATTCAGTGGTGGAAAGTGATTAAGTATATCCGCAATTCATACTTAAAGTCTGCTACATTTTGGAAGCCAGTATTATACTTTTACTCCACTTCATTTATTTTACAACATTGGTTGCCACTTTCTTTGCAAGGTCAGATCATTAATACAAATATAATCAACGAATAAGATAAGTTAAAACTTCATTGAGCCCTTGGTGAAAATTCACATGCTACCCATTAGTATATATAGTAAAACAAATTAGCCTCATCGTTATCAGCTGAAAAAAAAATAGAGTGATGTTCAAAAATAAGTAATCAGTTATTAGTTTAACACATTAGTCTGAGGTTAATATTCTGAAATGCGGCATTCTGCATAATGAGTGCTTTTATTTTTTGTTCTTTGAGTAATTTTGATGGGAATATTTTTGTAGTTTTACATAAGTGTGATTTTGAAGTATGTCTATACTGTTGTTTGGCTACTTCTACCTAAGCAAAACATCTGAATATCATCAATGATGACATTCAGAACATTAATAGTGCAGCAAATTACTTGTTGCGATGTGAAGATATAGAGTAATGGTGTCCTGAGCAGAGAATGAAGTAATGCTCCCTCTGTGAGTGATGTAATCCAAACTTCTCGCATGAATGTTAGTGCACGTGAACACTTCTTTTTAACATGGAACTTTATTCAGAGTTATACCAGTTTAAAACCTGCTGAACGTCTGGATCAGAACTATACAAGCGCTTATTAAGTTACCAGAGAAAAAAGTTGAGCCCACAACAGCAGGTGCTGGGTGAGCTGTCCATTTGCCAAATGCCAAAGGAGAAACAGATCTGGAACTTTTTCAGTGTTTTTCACCAGTTTTAATTGCCGTGTCTGTTTGTTTTGGAAAGGGAAGGCCTCTGCAAATAATTCGGCCTCCTGAATAAAGAACACTGAAGGAATTCTTGCAGTTTGCAATCCTGGTCACTAGATGCCACTAAATCCCCTTAAATCTTACACACTGTTCCTTTAAGTAAAGGATTAAAATATTTCTTTCATCACTGTCATTCCCAAACAAAGACAAATAAAGATAGATAATAATATAATTGTATTATATTACATTATTGAGTATTGCATCCATATTGGCTGGAGATGTATCATATTGAGCTGTTTTTCTCCCGCCATGCCAAACCCAACAGCCTCCAACGGAGAGAGAAAGACAGGGGATGGGATGGAAGCCAAGGCCTCTGTACAACTTAACTCCCCCGCATCAAAGGAAGATATGCCATTCCTTACTTTGTCCATTTAGCTGCTGGAGGGATCCTGAGCCTCTGCGTGGAGGGGGATTAGCTGCACTATTGTATCTCTGCTTTGAACCTTACTTCGGGATGCCAAGGGGGTGTGAACTAATGGAGCATTGCAAAGAGGTCTGCTGCATTTTTTTTCAACCCTCCTCCCTATTTATACAGGGTAGGTTTGCTGGGCATGAGTGCACTTTTCAGGAACGCCCAGCTTCACACCCACACACACAGTTGCAGTTACACACGACCACACTTGGGAGCTGTCGAGCACAGGTGTGTACACTCCTGTTGAGAACCAGTGAACACATACACAAGAGAAGGTGGTGATTATAAGTGCTTTTCCCCATCAAGTTGATTTTTTTTTTCTCCCCTGACTGTTGCAGGAGTTTGGACTGGCAACCTTCCAGTTGCGAGCAGCCTTCTGTTGTCCCTGTGCGGAGCTTAAACTATCTGCAACTTGACTGAGGAAAAACTCTTAAAGCTTCTGTGATGAAAAAAAAGAAGAATTCAGGCTGTGTGTACTATCTTGTTTTATTAATATGCTCTGTACTCTCGCCACAGTCACATGTATTTTTTAACATTTTTCGATGGGTACGGGGTTACATCATGTCCAGGCAACCATGCTTTAGGATCTATTTTACAGGCCTGACTATTATTTGTTCTACTGAAATATTAATATTCATAGGTGCAGGCTGATGAGCGTGTGATTTGGATGGAAGGATGGTTACCTGTCCCGCTGTGATCTGTGCATCACTTGAACAGCTCTGCTCTAACACAGCTAAAATACCTTATTGATGTAAGAAATTGTAATTAACAGCGATAAAGCAGGACAGTAGTCATTACTGAAATTGCTGGCGCAAAAGATAAAAGAATAAGTTACTTCAAAGTTTTTAATAGGTTCAGACAATGACCAATTGATTTCAGCACAAAGACCGCCAGTGAGAAGCAAATTGGCTCCTCAAGTTTTAACTTTTGCAGGAGTGCTGGGTTTATCCTTTTTTTCAGGCACCTTCAGACAAGACAAACACGGATATTCATCCAGACAGACATTATATTCATGTATCAGAGATTTCCAGAATGTCTTTTTCCCGTAGATTAGCACCATGGCCGTTGCAGTCGTGTAGATGGATGTGAAGAAGAACGTGAGCACGATGATGTTCTCATGGTTCACCGATATCTGGTAGTTGACGTACAGGTCGATCACGAGAAAGAGGATGAAGACGGCCACCAGAGATAAAGCCATCTGGATCACTCTCATCTGGGAGCCCAGCTTTGGCCCATGGGCTCCGTTGGTGCTGGCTTTCATGTGGCGGAGATGGATGGCGAGGTGGACGGAGATGGAGATGCAGCATTTCACCATGAGCACCCCTGGCAGTACATCAGCGAGGAGCAGGTACGTGGCTTCGTAGATCTTGCCAGAGAAGGTGTCGGGCAGTAAAACTCCGCAGTCGCTGTTCGTTGCGGTGTAGTTGTCAGGGTGAAACACCACGAGCATCGGCATGCAGGTGCCCAGGCCACACAGAGGGATAAGACAAACAGCTAAGATGATGTGCTTGAGGATGACAGCCTGGATATGTGTGTAGCACTGATTGGGTGTGTTCACCAGCTTGGTGCTGTAGTAGAAAGTGAGAAAGCCTGTGTCCCACATGATGGTGAACTTGAGGCTGTAGATTACCAGCAGCATGATGCTGTAGGGCATCCCAGCAATGTGGCACTTACTGTCCACCTCATCCATGGTCATCCAGAAGTAGCACACCAGCTGGTGGGCCACGCTAGCCACCGACAGAGCCAAGATGATAGTTTCACTGGGACTCCACTTCTTCTTCTGCTTGTAGTTCCACAGACTCGTCAAGAAGATGTAGACATTGAAAAAGACGGTGGTGACAGCCAAAAGACCTGTCATTACCCAGAGGGCCAATTTATTCGTCCCATACATAATGATGTAATGTAAAGTAAACCTTTATGAGAATAACTATTCCTCTATGTGGCACTCAGCAGTCTGTGTGGGGTTCTGGCGAGTTTTGTTTTTGCTTCGTTCAAGCAGATGAAGGCAAAAAATTATGCACACAGACTCCAAACTAGAGGATTCTTCATTTCTGATCCCACAGAATGAAATCAGTCACAGTTTGTCAGTGGGGCCTGGGGAAAAGATTCACACATTTAGCTCTTGAAATACATAAAACAGATCCAAATAGGCTCAATTAAAACCTATTATGGTTAAGAATATATGTGAAATCTACAATTTAGGAGGCCACACACAAAATGAAGTAAAGTGTAGCTGAGGTGAGAAGGTTAGAGCAATTAGGAGCAAAAAACAACCATTTTTACCTCAACCACTGCTCCCATGAGGCTTTTTATCACTTTGACTCCTACTCAAGGTTTCTGCTTACACTCTCAGTGCCTCATTGTCGTCACAATACGTTGTCTGACTCAATACCTTCGGCTGCAGCTGAAGAATCCTTTGTTTTGTTGTTTTGTTTATCCAAGCATTAATCCTAGCCTGGAGTTGTCTGCAGGATGCACACAGCAAGGTGAAATCCTCGGATTTACGTGTTCCTTGGCTGGGATTTATAAGCATTTAGGTGTGATTTGCATCAGTTGTGACCACAGGTAGTGGTGACGGTGTATTTGCATTGACATGGGGTGGGCAGGATATGTGCTCATTAGGAATATCCGGTCACTTTACTGTGTGTGGATCAGTGCGGCGTGACAGCTCAGCCAGTCCGCAGACCACACTCTGCCGGCTACGAATGCAAATGGTTATTCCTGCAGCTCGGCCACAAACACGAAACCGCACACACACTCACACACACCTAGTTACCTGATAAGAAAAGCAAATCACCTCTGAATCACCTTCAGGAGCCTTTATAATGCACTACCTTATCACCATAGTTTGTGCCGGGGAGGACACAAACTTTGTAGACAGACTTTTAACAAGAAGCTGACCTCAATTATATTTTACTTTGTATTTAATTCAGATTGTTTGTTTGCTTGCTCTACATACATAACTATCCAGTCGTAGCAAACACAGTCCTGATTTCATGAGCAATTAATACAGCTTACCCAGGTCCTCATCCACCTTCATGAATAACACTTTAACTTAGTTGATTCTATTATTGTAATGAATGATATATTTTATACTAAACAATCCACAGCCAAATTTTGAGGAGAAATTCTGCTCTTTTTCCACAATAGCTTTAAAAAAAAAAAAAAAGTCTTTTTTCATGCAGAAACTCTTTGAATCTAGATATGAAAGAACATTCTGCAGTGGGAGCCTTTGCTCTTTAAAAAATAATTACTATGCCAACACTATGAGGAGTTCTGCCCTCTAAGAAACTTATTATTAAAAGAAGAGATTATGTGGTTTCCAAGTGAGGTTGCCAGACAAGCATTTGTAATTAATTACTGTATCTGTTTCTCCAGTCCACGCATGGATCAAAGGACAGGCTTGTGTACCCACTTAAAATACTTGAGTACTCAGAGAAAAACCGAGCAAACGGAGAGATACAGACGTGGGCATGTACCAACAAAAGTTGACAAGTTTTCAATTTGTCTTCGTGTGAAACAAACAAATGACAAAAAAACACCCCAGAGACATAGTAAACATGTTTTGAGTGAGTGTGTGTGTGTGTATGTGTGCCGCCCACATGGATGGATTACTGAACGGATCTACTAGGCACAGGCCCTGGGGCTCAAAGTGTCAAACCCCCCCAGGCCTACACTTGCATGGAGATTGTCAACAAGGTGTCCAAATAGAAGCTGGACAAGCAAGTGAAAGCCCTGGTGTGTGAGGTGTGCTGTAACAACCTGTCAGACGAGGAAATATGCAAACTGTATTGGAAAAAAGGGCAAAACGACTAAAAAAGACACAAAATGACAACAACAAAAAAAGCAGTCACCATGTAGTTGTGTGTTTCCAGTCTTGTGTAGGAGAGGCGGTGGGGCCTTTTACACATCTGTGCCCAGGGGCCCATTGTCTCATAATCTGCCCCTTGCTGCTTGTTAACTTTTAAATAAAAGCTAATTTGAAAGAGAGGGAAGCCTGTCTTAAAACTGAAAGTTTGATGCTTTTTGGTTCTGGTCATTTGAAACAGCAACACTGTTTCTCAACAGCCTCTACAGTTTCAAGCCTGATGGGGGGGGGGCGGGATTCTGATATTAAGGGGGCCCTTGGCAGAATTTATTACCAAGGGCCCACCAACCCTCACCACTTCTCGCAGCTCTTATTAATTCAGCATACACCTTTTGAAGATGGGTTCACGCCAATACAGACGAGAGGTGGGGCCGCGGGCAAAGTGCTGACTCTGGATTTGCAGAGTGGCAGCTGCAGGTTAGCGCCTCAACTACCAGCTGTTAGACTAATAACTAGTTTACCGGCTGCCGAGCGAAAACTGGAGAAACACACAACACAAATGATGCAATTTTGTAGCTCTTTTGTTCTGCAAATGATTTTTTTTTTCCCAGGAGGCAAATGCACATAAGAAGATCAGGGGCAAAACTGGCTTCAGTCTCTCTCAATAATCTGATTCATGAGCAGCTCAAAGTTTGAATTTATATTTATCCAGTTGCAGCCCTGAAAATAGCCAGTTTCCAATCTGCGGACACAGACAGATCATTTTTTTCCCACCATGTTTATGTACAAAGTTCAGAATTTTAACGTTTCGCACAATCTTCATCTTCACTGCTCTCCCAAACATTATGACCCACTCTAATTAAATTGTATTTCAGCCTCTGACAGTATAGATAATTTCTTTTCATATCATATTTAATTTTGCATGTCAAAACAAAATATCTTATTCCATTATGATGCCAAAATAAGACTCATTCAATTAAGTTTTCATCTTCTACAAAGACATTGTTACATCCTGCATCCTGTGAGTGGGAGATGTGTTTCAAATGTTATGTTGTTGTGTTGTGTCAGCCCTTATACCATCAAGCATAAAAGATGGAGCCCTGACACAAAACTGAACGCTCAGCAAGCTCTAAATGGGATTTAGAGGGTCATTAAAACATGTTTTATTGTACACATATTTCTAAAAAAGTAATAAATTGATTGTCGTGTGCGTCATAGAAAAAAAGCCTCAGTAAAAATATGAGTTTTTTGATATACATAAATACATTTTACATAGCTTTAGCAAAATCAGTGTAACAATGAGAACCTATTCACTAGCAGTGATGTGCTACAGTGCATTATGAAAGTCAACCAGCTGTACATTTGTATTTGTCTAAGGGTTGAGGTAAGATTTTATGAGTCCCCAGCAGTTCCACACCAGCACTCCCATTATTCTCCAGGTAAATATACTGCAAAGCACCATTTGTCATATACATACTTTACATGGAGGTCTTTATATGTGTTACACTTAAAAGTCCTTTCTTCAGGGGCGTCGTCATATTAAAGATAAAAAATCTATGATGCATTTGGAGTATGTTTACACAGGGTATCCATATCGATGGTCGTATTTTAGAGGAGCACGGCTGTCCCCTGCAGTGGTTGGCTGTGATGCGCCGTTGCTCTCGCCTGTGTAGATGGGACTGTGTCCTGATTCACTGATGCTGGGCAGGTGCTTCTTCACAGAGCTGTACTGCACCCCGGGGTGGGTGCGGTATGCCAACACTGAGCGTAAACTGGAGGCTCTGCTGGAGGGTTGGCTCTCTGGGGCCTGGGCGTCCTCCCTGAGGAGGCAAGTGACACATCAAAAGATCCTCAGATTTAAGACCATCTCATGCATGTTTGAAATCGTCTCCAGCTCTGATATGTTACCTTATTTCATTTGCCACCTCTTTTTCGTAGCGACGCTTGTGGCAGCAGCAGACCAGGAGCCAGATGAGAAGCAGGAGGAGTAGCAGCAGCAGGAGAGCACCTATCACTGCCCCGACTATGACACCCACCTTATTGGTAGCTGGAAGAAAAGACATGGTGCTTTATTATGCCTGTCCTTATTTTTTGTCATAATGTTACAATGTCGGATGTTAATATTGAACGTGACCAAAGTTCCAAATAATGAGATAAGCGACTGTAAAAGTAATCCCTGTGAGCATAAACCTCAGGCTTCAGACTGTTCTGACTACTCTGTTTACAAATGTTTTTCCTCTGCTTTCGAAAGAAGCTGAAATCAGCTTGTGACGAATTTCTACATTACGTAGTCTACACTGCTACATGTGGCTACATCCTAATATCAGGGACACATATAAACTTTGTTGCCAATGTTGTTCATGTGTCCCAGAAAGAGGGTGAATACAGGCATTAGGGCACAGACAGTATGATGAAAATTAATTGTTTTAAAACCTTAAAGCATGTAGACACGTTCTAGCAGAAACCCAAATAAGCAGAAACCTGAAAATAGTAATAATAATAATAATAATAATAATAATAATAGGTCCCCTTTAAGGTGAAAGAAGTGTAGCTTTCCTTCCTTGGCCGCAACCCAGTAGCTAGAATAAATCTTGGCATTGTACCTTTGTGCAAACCACAGAAACATTGTGTGTGTGTAATTATGTAGCAAATAAATTGAAACTTTACATTTCAAGACTGTGGTTAACATGTGGTTAGGTTTAGGCACAAAAACCACTCAGTCATGGTTAAAGAAAAGATCACGTTTTGACTTAAAATACCCAGTTTTGTGGCACTATCCCAGTAGGTCTCACAACAATTACTCGCTAAAACACAACTGGTTTTGTTGTTTGTTGGTCTCAAAAAGTGGTCTATGTCTCGCCTAGGTGTCACGCCATCAACCATCCCCTCCACCTCCTGATCACAAAATCAGGTTATATACTATGTCATTTTAGAAATGTTGATATGATAATCATGAAATGTATAAATTTAATGTTTTTGTGGTTTGCAGAAACATAAAACACCAACAGTTAGCCTACTTCTGGCGAGTTGGCTGTGGGCTTGCATGTAATTCCACAACTTGCATGACAGACTGCAGCAAATACTCAGTCTACTCCACCATGCAGACCACAATTTAAAAGCTTCCTTGGTGTTAAATACTTAAAAGTAAAATTAGATGATGATGTCGCACAGACTTACGGTTGTATGCATGCAGTGCATATTTACACTGTCCTTTGCCCACAGCATTTTTTGCCTCACACACGTAAGTTCCAACGTTGCTGTCTGTATGGTTCCTTATCAAAAGCTCTCCAGTCTGTAGGTCTTAATGAAAGGAGAGAGCTTTCAGTACAAGCATATTTTACAAATGCAGCATGATGAAAAGTGCTATAGAGAAGCCTTTTTTTGTCTGTAAAGTTGCTTCTTCACCTTGGGTCGCAGTGGCTGGTATGGTACCACTCTCTCTCCTCCATGTGTAAGTGAGAGGAATAGATCCCCGAGATGACTTGCAGCGGAGGGCGACCGTGCCACCTTTCTCCTCGCCGCCTTCGACCCAACACTTTGGAGCTGATGGGGGGACTGGAGACAGAAAAACAAATAAACACATCAATGCTTTAGTTCATCATGGGAGGGTTAGAGGTGTGGGAGAGGAGAACAATGTGAGGTATGGCTACAGAGAGAGGTGTGATCACTGAC